TAAGTACTCAAACCGATATATGTTTTCTTAATAACACATACGTATGTATGTATGTATGTACATTAGAGTGGTCCAAAAAACCATGTGAAAAAGTAAAGTCGGAATTTGTATGTTCTCACCCCCTAAGATTGTTCTATACCGAAAAAAATATACCATTCTTTTTTATTTTGAAATTAAAAAGTATTTAGAGGTCGCTCAAAGCTCTTGAAGTTTTGAATGTATTTTATATGGGGAAAAAACAACTTTTCGTAGAAATGGTATATGATTCTTGAAAATCAATACGTTTCGGTCGGAAAACCCTGTTTCTCTACAGGAAATTCCCAATAACAATACCCAATTATTTAGTTAACCATTTTTTCATAGTAACTATCTTTTATAGGTCCGCCAAAATCACCAGATAATGCCTGAAAATGCAACTTGGTGATAAATAAAAAAAGCTTTAGTATTAGAAAATGTTAAAAAAAAATTGGATATTGTTACTGGAAGTCAGCTGTTCTACGAACAGTTGTTTTTATACCCGAGCGCACTTGTGCACAAGGGTATTATAACTTTGTTCACATAACGGTTGTTTGTAACAGGCAAAACGAATCGAGATAAATATAGACAAATGTATACATAAATGATCAGAATGAAAAGAGAAATCGATTAAGCGGTGACTGTCTGTCCGTCCGTCCGTCTGTCCGTCCGTCTGTGCACACGATAACTCGAGTAAAAATTGAAATATCTTAACGAAACTTGGTATGTGTACTTCTTCCGGGCGTAGGACGGATGGTATTGAAAATGGGCAAAATCGGAAAATAACCACGCCTACCTCCCATATAACGGTAATTTTCAGAAATACGAAAACTGCAATATTTTATTAACTACTGAAGATTATTCACTCAAAATTGATATATACAATAATCTTTAGACAAAAAATAAGAATATTATAAATTTTTGAAAAATGGGCGTAGCCACGCCCACTTATGGATACATGTGTATATCTTGGTAACCGCTGCACCAATTTCTTCCAAACTTAGCACAGTTGTTAGTCTTGCTACAGCATACCAAATGGCCGAAAATTTTTAATTAATTTAATTTAATTTTTCGGACAATAACCACGCCTACCTCCCATATAACGGTAATTTGGAGAAACACGAAATCTTCGATAAATCAATAAATATTAAAGCTAATTTACTCAAAATTGATACACACCGGCTTACCATGTAGCGGTAGCTTTCGGAAAGGTGAAAAACATATATTTAATACCTGCGCCGGGTATTTAATGTTCGGCTCCGCCCGAACTTAGACTTTCTTACTTGTTTCCCATATAAAATACATGAAAATCTTTGAGTGCTTAGAGCGACCTCTAAATATTTTTTCAAAATAAAAAATTGGGGTCTATTTTTTCGATATAGAACAATCCTGCTTTACTTGTTTTGTACCACCCTAATGTACATACATATTTCGGCTTGTAAGTATGTGTGTTTGAAAGAAGACATGTAGATCTTACTTGTCAATAGAGTTGCCAACTTTATGCTAGACTTAACTGTACAAAAATAAATTTCACGTGCATTTTTAATGCCCTTACCCCGAAGAGCGCGAATAAAAATCAACCAGAATCAAAATGTGGGATTCCAGGAACAGCTCGGGTGGCATCCCTGCTTACCTATATGTTGGATAATGTGTGCTTGGCCTGTTGCATGCATCGTGGTAGCTTGCAAAATACATACCTACAAGAAAAAGCAGATTCAAAAAGCTGTACAAAAATGTTCCTTAAAAAACCAGAAAGACATAAAAAGTCTGAAGGCACAGCAAATATTGTACAATAATAGCAGCAGCGTGCAAGTGGCGATGTTAGAGGAAGACCAGAAGAAACCAACAACAGAAACACTTGAAGAATATGAAAAATGCAATGGCTTTGCCCGTGTAGCATACAGGGAAGTGGAGAGCAGAGCAGATGTCTGGCCCCCAGGGCCAGAGGGCTCCGCCAGACGACGGAGGCGACACTGGCAATTGGCAGCGGACACAAGACGCGTGTTCAGTAATTCAGGTAGCAGTTGCGCGCATTGCTTTAACACGAGTGCGATCAGGCGAGCACACAGACAGACGGACGGACGGACGTCCGACAATCGTCGTTGCTGGAGATGGTGGATGTTGGTTGGATGGTTGGACGGTCGAAGATCTACAGCCTCTACAACCAGTAGCAGCCATGACTGCATGACCAGAAAATGAAACAGCACTGACGCTATGCCGGGTTGATTGCCAGAGGGGTGAGGAACAGAAAAAGTAAAACAAAAAAAAAGCCTCTTACAGCAGCAAAAAGAATGTAAGAGAAGAACAAAATCGTGAAAGTATAAAAGCAGTACCAGCCAACATTAAAAGTAGCAACCACATTGAAAATAGAAAGAAGACTGGAACATAAATACAGAATCCAACTGCTTAGGAATGCTGACCAAACTGGCTGCTGGCTCTGGGCTGCCAGTTTAACAACTACGATTGGGATTGGGTCCGCATGTGGGGTAGGCCTGTTGAGGGGAGAGACTGAGGTTCAGTGCAGAGATAAGTAGCAGTTGAAAAGACGGACAGGGACCAAGCATGCACACACATACACACTATCGTGCCAACATACAAGCCTATAGCAGTTGAAATGCACTTATAATTTGTGGTTGTATTGGATGAATGCCTGCATGCATGCAGCTGGATGTTGTAAAAGTACGACCATTGCACATTGCATGGAGACTGAATGTAAGAAATTGTTGATGTATGTACATATGT